CCCTGGTGGTCAAAGCGCACACTGCTCAGCCGTTCCCGCAGACGAGAGTGGCGGCTGGTAGAGGCGGTGTGAACGCATCGCCTAGAAAGAAGGAAAACATATCCGTCTGGTTTAAGAGGCGAAACTTCTTACGCCGTTGGTTGTTCGTCTCGTGTCGTCTTAGTAATCGTAGTAGCCAGTTACACCGCTTCGCATGTCAATAAAAATGGTGTCACAGTATATTTAGAGAATGAATGATGAAGAGTGGAGCAAAGCGTCCATCAGTCCGTTCATAAATACATCATTTCATCTGACGACCACCATCAAACTCAATTTGATGCCGCCGCGTGAAGTTAATAATACGAGAGGCAAATATTTTACGTTATTTATAAACAGTTCCGTATAAAGGAAAGTTGTTTGTGCTGGCCGCGCTCTCTTACGCCTCTGAACTGCTATAGAAGATACTCTCGCGGTGGATACTCGATGCTGAAGTGTCTCTGTTTAATTTAATTTGTGCTAAAGACAGGGTTTCTGTTACGAACAAAGCAGCAGACAACTCGAAGCTTAGCTTTCTGCATGGAGTCAACCTGTGCGGTAAGCTTCTTTTTAGGTCGCTGCCATGGCTAATTAACACAGGAATTCGCGCTATGCTAGAGAAGTATCAAACGTCTTCTATCTTTACTCACCGTTTAGTTCGCCAAACACGCATATTCAGTTTTCCCGCTTGCCTGTGTTGCTTTAAAATAAATGAGTCTGTTCCACATCGATAACTGCAAGACTCATATAACAAAAGGGTAGGAGCACACGTAAAGAAAGTGCTAACTTTATCCAGTGGCTTACGCGTGTCTAATACAGAACACCTAACACTAGGCTTGATGGTTACATTCGTGCATAACACACAGTTAAACGAATTTAAAAGTCGTAGTACCGAAATGATTCCGTCATGTTAGGATAAGATTCTCGGAAAATTACACATCTAGAATGTGTAGCTAAAGAACGTCAGATTCATCACTTATCATCGGCCTCCTTTTGGCATCGACAGTGTAATCAACTGAGAAAAATAACAAATTTTATGTGTTGTATCACAGTTAGTAAACCTGATTGTGGTCATGTGGCCCCATGGTTGTTTTCTTAATGACGTGATCACTGCATAATCCTCCTCGGTGTAACATAGTAATGTTGCTCATTACATGTCATTAGAATTTTCGCAACAATGCCAAGCATTATCACAAAAAGTGACTCCTGAGGTACCTAACTCTGCTTCTTTTGATTGCAGTAGCAATTAGGTTATGTGCATACAAAGACCCTCGACGTGTTTTTGCCGGTGCATCAACTCATTGCATGTCACTGTCCTGATGCGTATGTTTAAAGATCTGTATACAAAATAAATCTTTCGGGATTATTTTCATAAGCGCACAACCGGGTATTAGAACATGCGACACCTTTCTCCGCAATGCACTGCGTTAAACAATATCTCCATGCAGCAGATGTCTCCCACCGCACCGATGGCCAACTCTTTATATGCACCATTTACCGCTGGCATTGCGCAGAGCTTCGAAATGCGTCAGTGCGCTCCCTATCACCCACAACATGAAACGAAAGGCGCACTTTAGAGGTAGTCGCCCCACTTGCAGTTCATGCGTGCACCTCCAGATCGGCAATCAATCAATCAATCAATAAATCAATATCTCAATTTCAGTTTGTACATACAAACTAGGGATAGCAAGAAAAAAGCAGCGAATTTCACGCCGCTTGACGAGCCTGGCCTTACATGTCAGCCGTAGGGCACTAAGCAGAAACAACCACTGTACAGTGAGTTCTTGTAAGTATTCGTGAAAACTCACAAGAAGACCTGTGTCATAATTGATAATGATGATTTCAATGTAAAACAATAACATAGATGGATACTACATATGTAGACATGAAAACATTTGATATTACGGTGGCAGATTTTGCCGAATAATGTTCTTGCGAATGGCAGAAAGAGACATAGTATTCAGGCAGTCATAAAATTATGTGTTCAGGAACTTTGGCGCAGTATAACTGAACATAGAAAAACCATAACTTATTCTACACTTTCGGAATGCATAACTACTTTGTACACTGGTATCATATGAAAAGTGGCGAAACGTAAGTGGAACAATTTTAGATAAAAAGTAGTCATTTTTTCTTATTCTTGTTTAATAAAAACATGCAAATCTGTAGTGGGAATAATTCGTTTGCAGTTACAATGTTATATTGAAGAAAGTTATGTTTAGTAGGAGAATCGTAGGACCCATTTACAATTGTGCGAAGCATTTTCTTTTGAAGGGTGTAGTCACCCGGGCTGGCGCGCTTATCTTAGTAGAGTGGGATGTGTGTGATATCTTACGCTTTTCCGGCAAAGACTGTGCCGAAGCACGATGGTCACCTCGCAGCGGCAGCGTTCGCGAAAGAAGTGAGCTCCTATAGCATCCTAGCTACAGGGGGCAATTATGGGGCTATAGTTAAAGTAACTGTGAGAAATGTTTATTAGCGCTGGTCCTGTTTGTACAGCGCTTGTCTTTCGTGTCCTTCTTGTCTCTGTGTCGTCGTTTTGTTCTCGCGCTATAACTATCGTCAACCCTCACGTCTGTAACGACGGAACGTCGTGCGCGGAACAGCACGAGCGACATCTGCATTCGCAAATACGCCACATCTGAGCATGCGTGGCGCTAGTGATGTGCCTGCCTTACAAAACTGATCCCGTTTTCTCACCGCGGGTGCAACAATCGCTTCGGCCGTCAAAAGCACTCAGAACGATTTAGCAAAAAAACAAAAAGAAAGCGTAAAACTTGAAGCCAAGCTTCTCGCTGTGATATAATATCACGAAGCGAGAATGACCTCCATATTCTAGAACATCCATTCACTCAACGCTTCACCTTCACTTGAGAAAGCCGATGGGAGCGCCGTCTCTAGGCACGGCAAGTCCCTGCATATCAGCGATAATCTGCTGCGATTCTTGAGTAGCTCAGCGTCATTTTTGAGCCGAGCTGTGGCGCAGTCCTCAACTCTGTCAAGTGAAGGGTGAAAGTCGAGTCGAGGAGCGCTTGTGAATACGGGGGTAACTTTAGGGTATACAAGGCGACTATTCGACCAATTGTTGGTTTCTCTCTTTTTTTTCGGTTCCCTAATGTTCACAGTGCTTTGAGGACCAAAGCCATCGTCGCAGTCGCGTAGATAAAAAAGTGTGGCAACTGCGAGGAAGGCACATATCTGGCCCCGCGCATGCTCAGATAGGGCGTGTTTGCGTCTGCAGATGTCGCTCGCGCTCTTCCGCGCGCGACGCTCCATCGTTATACACATTAGTGTTAAGGGTTCTACGTTTCTCTAGATACGAGGCTTATAGCGGTGGCATCTACCGCTCCCCCTTCTCTTTCCTCTAGGTATCTCTCCCAGCATCGTGAAAACCCGCATCGTGCATGAGCGTCCCCTTCATCTCTCAACGCCGACACAGGCAGCGTCTGCTAGCCAGTTTCTTGATTGAAAAAAAAATGGCCCCGTATCTGCATGTTTCACTGCAAACGTCATCGAAATACGATAGCCTTGCGTGTGGAGAGAGTGAACGAAACGTTTATTTGTTGTTCTGTGCGAGAAAACCGGTGAACCGTATTCTGGAAGCGCTGCGTTAGAGAGTCTCGATCCGTGCAGCGAAGGCGAACGAGTGCATCGAGGCATGTTAGACATGAGCGCTATCTGGCAGTTATCTTCGAAAACGAAGGAAGGCATGCGCGCCCATGGAGAAAGATGCGCGCCTGTCTCAGAGACCATAAGGTGTAGAACGCAAAGCGACGGGCAGATGCCACCACCATGTCGTCTTAGCAAAGCGTTAAAAACACCTTTTTGAGCATCGCGTTGCACTGTCAACGTAGCGTGATAAACGTTATGGTCCTGAAAAATGCTTGTGTGTGCCTTCTCTAGTAACAATCCCACATACAAAACATCTAGGTGTTGTATGGTGCCTCAGATATGCGCATGATTTGTTTTTTTTTTTCCAATTGACAATCGCACAAGTATGAACACTGAAACTTGAGAAATATTCTTGCGCACTGCAAATGGGGTTGGACGTTTGAGGAATCGTCTGTTGCTGTTAGGGGGATCGTTACCTCAAACAAAGAGACAATAATACAGACAGACATAAAGACAGACAGACCAAAATTTTGGCGTCGAAGGTCCCCAGGAAAGACTATCGTCTTGAAAAGCCGACTGCTCATGCTGAACAACCATTCACTGGTCATCCCGTATATATAGGAACTAACTCGCCATGGGGGTCTAGTGGCTAAGGCACTTGACTGCTGCCCCGCAGATCGCGGGATCAAATCCCGGCCGTGGTGGCCGCATTTTCGATGCAGGCGAAAATGATGTAGGCCCGCGTCACCTTTACCGACCTCAGGTGGTCGAAACTTTCGGAGCCCTTCACTACGGCGTCTCTATTAATTATATGAGGATTTTGGGACGTTAACCCCCCACCCCAATTATTGTTACATGTAGGCAGAAGATTTTAGCCTTCAAGGCAGTGCCGATGGAAGATTTTCGTTGTGTATTGTCGAACAAAAAATATTTCGCAGCGTGCGCATTAACTAAACGTGGACTGCGAGTCTCTGTGTCGAATCGGAAACTTCTCTCTCTCACTGCCCATGCACGTTCTAGTCCGGTCTTTGCACCTCTTCAGGTTTTTCTCCTGCTCTACGCCACGATGAGGGCTAGCGTCAACGTCGCCGCAAGTGCAGGCGTTAGCGCCACATTTGCATCTAACATGGTCCCCTTTAACGGGAGTAGGCACAATTTTTTATGCTTTCATTTTTGTTTCAAAAGCACTGCAAGCTGTAACAACCTTTCTTAAGCACTTGAACAATGTGTGTTTTCTGACGTCCTTTGAGCTTGACCAGCTTGCTGCAAGTGTCGAGCTGCTGCCGTTCTTTGTGCGACATTCCAATTGGTTGCTATCGCATTCATTGCTTCACACATGCGACGAAAGGAGTACGTTTTTTTTTTTTTTACAGGTCCAGTAGCTGGCGCTCTCTGCAAGCGCTTTTCGTGCCACACCGTCCTGATAACCTGCTCGTGCCTGGCAGGAATCGCTGTCAGCTTGTGCTATGTGGCGAACACCCTTACTTTCATCACAATTTTCTTTGGAATTCTTCACGGTAAGTCCTTGTAATCGGCCAAAATAGGCTAGAGCACTTGTGTGAGTTACTGTCTGGGACCTCAAAATACGGAACATTTTGTTCAGTATGTTTCATTTCACTTGATGGCTACAATTAAAAGTCATGATCGCACAGGTACTTCTTGAAGAAAACAAGGGCACTCCTTGCCTGAGTCATATATAAGGACAAAATAAAAGTAGTCGAAAGAAAACACGTGACCTATTGCACATATGCAGTTTAGAAATTCATAGCCTCATATTGTGACGTATCGAGTTTCTTTGTTCACTGAATTTTTTTCACGACACCAAAAGCAGGCGTATGTTTTTGGAAAGTTCTGCTACGTGACCAAGAGAGGTGCGCTACAGTGGTAGCAGAGTCAAGCATCCGACTTGCGCAAATGCAGCGAATATGGCGAACTTATGTCTTACTGAGCGAGTAAGCTTCTAGAACACGGTCCAATGCTTCTGCATGTGGTGACGGCGAGATTACGCTGATTACCTCCACTTAGCCCTCTAGACCTTTTTCACTGGAGACTCCCTAGGTGCCACCATATCCCTTTTTGTGCTGTTGTTAACATGCGTGACCCCAAAAAATTGCAGGGTCGAAGCCATGACGTCAGCTTTTTTGCTCCCGTGCAACATCCCAGAAAGAATGGGATCCTCCTCTCCGTAGAAATCGTCTATATAGGTTCCTAGCTAGTGCGAACATTTTCAAAGTAAAGGTACCGCCTTGATCATTGTCATCCTTTGCAATATTGCCACCCTCAGCTTATTTCGTGCGTGTGTTCCAATACTCACCATAGATGAAAAATAAACAGCTAAGTGGACGGCAGTCATCTTGAGTTCCATTCCACTTCTCTCGTAGCCGGTAAAGTAGACAGTTTCGAGAAGACGGCATCGTAGAAGATGGTGGCTCAGAAAAGATGGTGGCTCAGAAAACTACTCACATTGCTCAAATCTCACCGGAACGGCCATCCGCATACATGCAGACGCTTCTCCAGACAATTATAGTGAGTAAAGTGCAATTTTTCGAAGATTTGAACATGAAATAAGCGATAAAAACAGTTACGTTTGTTTATGTCAACTTTCTCTTTTCAACGCGAGGTGGCATCTCGTCGCGTAGAAGCGGTCCAGACGTGATACATTTCTCCGACAAAGTGGACCCGATGCTGTCTTCTAAGCTGTCAGCGTAGACTCTCTACGACGCTGTCTAGAATCGGAACACAGCCTATGAGCTCTTCGTCCTGCAGTGGACTAAAATAGGCAGCGAGTAATTAATACCATGACGATGGCAACCATGAAGAAGGTGCTACAGATCAGTATTATCATCTCTTGTGGGTGCTTGTGTCACATTTAGCCAGGAAAAGACAGCATCCACTCTTTCTTCATTACAAGCTTGCCGGAAGTGCTCGTTCACCATTTAATGCGACGTAACAAAAAAAACCGTACCATTAACCTCGCCAGAGGTAATAACTGGGGCATAGGTTCTTTCATCCCGCCTGTGCTAGCCCTTTACCTAACCTAATTGAGGAAAACCACGCCGAATAGGTGTTCGTGCCGAGATTGAAAACCCAGGATGACTGTTTCGTCTACCAGGAAAGATTACTTTTAAAAAATCAGCATGAATTCCCTTGTATAGTGGCGCTGCAAATGGGTGGATGTATAATTTTCTTGCCACTGCAAAATTTAGTTTGAATTGTGTGTCGCAAACTGAATATACCTTGTTGATGCCTTCCACCCGCCTTGGCCCCGCATCAAGGCAAGTTGATTTCGCGCGTGCCTTGCAGTCTGCAGGACCGAATCACTGCGGGTCAGCCACACTTGCCAGAACAAGTTCAAATTGTCTCTCATATAAGCAAGCTCACTTATATGAGTTGCTTGGAGTGAACACGGTTGGCTAACCTACGTGGTCATGTCATAGGAAAGGTTTACCAGCTGAAAGCAATAAATTTCGTGAATTTGTTCATTACACAGCTAATTGGCATACGACGCACCTGTCCACACAGAATTGGCATTTCCATTAACACTGTGGAACTTTTACGAAGCCTAGTTGAAGCCTGCTCATCCTGCACTCTTTCACTATTTCTCAATATGGCTACCAGCTATTTCCTAATAATACATGGCAAAAGTTAGCGCAATGGAAGTAAAAGGAAACAGGATGTACAAATATACTGCCTGTGCTCTGAGGGTTTCGGAGCGTTTATTTAATTACACTGCTGCAAACTTTACACTTTTCATCATGCATGAAGTGTTTATTGATGTGTTTTTTGCATTGTATGGACATTGCATTGTTTGCATTGTATCTACTAGGGCGTCTTCTTTTTATTACCTCACAATCTGTAACTATTTTCAGATCGTTTTACGTGAACAGTTCCATCTTGTTGTTGTTGTTGTTGTTGTTGTTGTTGTTGTTGTTGTTGTTGTTGTTGTTGTTGTTGTTGTTGTTGTTGTTGTTGTTTACCTGTGCAAATGGCTCGTACCCAAAGGAGGGGATTGGCCGATTATAATGTGAATTTGCCCTATACTTTCAGCATTGCATCCTTCCTATAAAACTTTTGTAATTTAATTTTGATTTAAAATGCAAATATCAAGTTTGCAGAAAAAAAAATAAAGGAAATTAGTGAGACCGTAATTTAGCAAGAAAATCGTTTAGTCGCAGGGATGTATTCCTGAACGGCGAATAAATCATCCCTGTGGCTGAAACCCAGTGTAGAGGCTCCAAATGAAAGAAGATCAGGTTGTGATAATTGCAAGCCCAGTCTTTGAAGAGGTAGTGCTAGTATGCTTTGCCTGAATGAATCGAAACGGCGACAATGTAATAAAAAATGACTGATCGTTTCCTCTTGATTACAGTAAATGCACATAAGGAAATCCAATATACCTGATCTATGCTAGTAAAAATTGAGGGAGGTAACGTGACAACGAAATTTCGTGATGACAACTTCCATCATCCTCGAATTAGACAGTTCACTGCGCCAACGAAATAACAAGTGGATGTACTCCGGAGAAGCCGTCAGTGCAGGGTCTGATCAATTTTGCCTGATTTTAAGTGTGCGAAATTGCGCCACCGTAATGTGTACTGTATAAGGAAAAATAGGAATGATGGCTGTCGAAAGCGATGCCTTCGCAAGAGAATCAGCTATTTCGTTTAACAAAAAACCTTTGTGCCCTCGTGCCTAGATTAAATGAATACTTCGGAGATGGCAAGGAACCAATGATTTAAAAAGTTTCAGTATGGGTGAGCGACCAGATGCGGACTGAGAAGAGTTCCATCTTTCAGCTCCTGCGTGCGAGAACAAAATTTGCATGTAATTATGATGAATGCCCATTACGGGCATTTCAGAATAATTTCGCATTTCATTACAGTTTTCTGGGTAGCTTCGACCACCTTTGACAGCAGTGCGTGATATTCACTGCTAACACTTTCTCAGATATGTTTTTCTTTCCAGAGAGCTTGGCTTAGTCTCAAGTATGAAGCGTGGCAGTGGTAATTGCGTTACTGTATACAGAACACTTTCTCTTAAGACGTCTTCTTTTGTATTCGTCAATCTTCTTTCAATTCTATCTTGTACCTCAAACTTACCCTCTATATTTGCATTGTAGAACGTCCTCGTCAAAATAAAGAAAACGGTATTTTGTGGCCTGTTGCGTTCGCTATAATATCAAACAAAAATATTGCTGGCGCTGCCGCTTATGTCATTTTCTAAATGTTGCTTACCTTATGTCTTACATATCGTTTGCATTTTGATCAAAATTTCTCTGCGCAGTGCAGTTGGTTTTCTTGCGTCAAGCTATTAGAAACCTTTTCGCGCATACTCGAACCTTTTTCATGCAGGCTCTGCCATATCCGGAATGTACGTCGCCGCAAATGTTCTTGTGGCGCAGCACTTCGAAGAGCGGAGGGCCATGGCTTGCAGCCTTGTCTATGCCGCCAGTGGCCTTAGCAACTTCGTTCTCCCTCCCCTAGTGGAATTCTTCCGCACAACGTACGGTATTCGGGCGGCATTCCTGCTTTACGGGGCAATTTTTCTTAATGCTTTACCACCTGCCATCGTGCTTAGAAGCCCGCCCTGGCTCACAAACTCGAAAACTGTACTAGAAAAGGTGGTACCGAAAGCGGACGTCAAGAAGAATGGGACATGTACGTGTAGTGTCGTATGCAGGGAAAACATGACATTGTCGAATACACCACAGAATCCGCCATTCTACACACAACGGCAACCACTGGGCAATGAAGCAGTGAATCCATCAAGCGGGGTCAAGGAAAACAGCTCATGTGCCCACCTGTGTCCAGAGAAAGCTTCGCAAAAGGTGCCAGAAGCTACGAAGTTCCTGTCACGTCTTAAGCTCGGTCATACGGCAAAGCAGTTTGTGACGTGCTCTTTCATAGTATATGCACTTTCTTTCGCATCAATAACATTCACCACTGGCGCGTTTGTCCTGATATCGGCAGACCTGGCCGTGGACCGAGGCGTAAGCCCTTCTAATTCTGTGTATTTCCTGCAAGCGTTTGCAGTTGCCGACGTCGCTTTCCGAGCAGCAGCCGGCTTCGCTATCGATTCGAGCATGCTATCTGTCGAATCGACGATGCTGCTGGGATATGTACTCCAGGGATTAGCTTATGAATGGCTGGCGTGGGCATCGACACTGCCGCCGATGATAGCCGCAGCAGCTGTGCTGGGCGTCACCAGTGGGTCAAGACTGTCTCTGCAGGCGCCCGCCTTGGTGCACGACTTCGGCATCGGCAATCTGCCGACGATGATGGGTGCCGTGTCCTTCTGCGCAGGCGCTTCGCTTCTTATGAGGCCACTACTAATTGGTAAGCAACACTAACGTGCAAAAGTATTCTGATTTGAAGATTGTGCAAAAACAACAGTTCTAGTATTTTGCGTTTAAGCACCGTATTTAACCACCTAATTTAAGTCATGGGATAAATTGTCATCAGCAGTATTACAAGACAAAAGGATGGCGTATTTGTCCATAGGGTAATACTATTTAAAATATCGGTTTGGTGCTGTCGTTGGTTAGGCAGAAGGCTAAGAATAAAGTCGTTCTAGCTAGCAGCAAGGGTTGCTCAATTTTCAGGGTGGCAGGGGGCTAATCTGCGAACTGCGCGTTGAAGGGTGTTCACAATATGTAGAGGAAAGCTAGGACAATAATAAACTAGACAAAATAAACAATACCCGGAGTGTGTCCTATCCTATCAAAGCAAGGGCAACAATGCCTGCCATGTTTAATTATCTGGATGATAGCTTGTGGTTCCAAATCCGCTCTTATGTTTATGCATAAAAGCGTATGTACGCACACATATGTACAGAGCGAGCTGTTAGTGTTACAGTTATTTTTGTTTAAATATTTTAAAGTATTGTCTATATACTAGCACCGAGAAAGAAGCCGTAATAAACATACAATAATGTGCAGCAAATCGCTTACTTCAGGAGCGCAGCAGTATATCCCACACTGAAAATAATAATTCACAACTGTGCCAAACTGCTTACAACTTCTTATATATACAGCATTTGCAGGAAGTTGGTATCAGTCAGCCTCTGTTAAGGTGAAATTATGTAGTTTCTGGAAATCAATCAGTAAGACTTATTTCTTGAATTCCGTGTCTTGTTTCATTATAAGGTTATAACTGTAACTCAGTGGTTCACGCTTGTTGGGTGCACCGGAACACGGTCTATTGGCTAGAATTGCTTCCTTTACAACGCTGTGATTATGTATATGACGGAAAGTTTTGAGTGCGAAGAACAGCATTCACAAGAACGAGACGATAGGACGGGCGCAACGGTGTTGTGAATGTTGTTCTTTGCACTCAAAACTTTCCGCCAACTTTGCATCATTTTCATAAACTTCCACTTTGGCTAAGACCATGTTTACAAGCCACCCAGTTTTATTGCTTCGTTTATATATATATATATATCACGTGCAGGGTACTACAGGGACAACTTTGGCGACTACAGCGGACTGTTGCATACAATGGCTGCCATCAATGCCGTATTTGTGTGCTTGTGGATGGCCAAGCTCGTCACGAAGAGGAGAACAAAGACGACGCTAAAGTTAGAACCTTATAACGCAAGCAAAACAGATGTGCAGTACACCGAAACCTACAAACAGTACAGTGGATTCGGATCGACCTGTTGAGCTACGTTCACCTGGCTATATAGTAGTCCACTGCGTGAACCACGCATCCATGGGCTTGTCTGTCATCGCATAATGGCCTGGAGGGTGACCACTAAAAGAACGGCGCCACTGATCTGTTGATGTAGTCAACAACATTGTTTGTACCGCCTGTGTCGCCATCCTTCTTTTGATCCCCGAGGTAGTAATTCAATTTCTTCCTATTGCAGAGTGGTGAACAGCTCGGTGCCGCATTGCTGAATACTTTCGGCCGAGCCAAGTGTGAATGAGACACTCTAAAACGTCGAAGCAACGAGGTATTTGTCTAATAAAACAGAAAATGGAGAAACTGTCCACCATTCCTTATTACGTATTACACACTTCTAGGACAACGTTTTGTGCGGTGTTGGAGCTAAGTATTCGGTGAGCAAGACGTGAGTCCTCCTCGGTCGGAATTTAAAAATTTTGGTTGCGCGAGGCTTGCGAAGACGGTGCCTTATTACCAAAACGTTGTCATCGCAGAACATTTCTTTTCAACTTTGAAAATGTTAAAAATTATAGTTATTAACCCATCATTATGACCTCAACCTGCTGTAGAGCAACGCTTATCCCTGCTGTTCGCCGCAAAATGGCATCGAAATTGATTTTGTCTTCATTATATTACTTAAGACTATTCAGAGGCAGCCCGCCTTATGCAATATTCTTTGTTCTTTTTCCAACTGCGGTATGCTGAACTGCTGTGTAAATTCTCGCGGAGACGTCTGCGCTAGCATGGCGCTTTGATAGCGGCCTGCACTACGGATCCCAGCTAACGCGAGGACTATCTCCTTTACATTATTGATATTGCTGATGGTCTGTTACCACAGTGAGAATATTTGCTCATGATTCCGCGATTTATAGAGAAAGCACTAACGCTATGGATAGTTGGTACTTACAGTTGGATTTAGAAAAACTCAGGAAATGGTTTGAATGAACGAAATAAATCAGTGAAGTGAAATCTTCGTTTTTCTTTTCAAAATACATAACAAAAGAGTGGACGCAATGGTAAAATCCACATACAGCGGTTTTAGAAAAACCCTACTGCGCTTCATAGCAGTGTGGAGAGAAAACAAATTTAGTTTTGCAGGCATAAAAAACATTCTATAAAGCTTACATTACCTTCTGATTTTCAAAACGCACAGCGCCAATGCAAAGAGCAGAGATGATTGAAAAATACGTGTATAAAACTAGGGACAGCACTAGCCATTTCTAACATTTTATAGCTTAACGATAACACAGTGTCAAGTGAATAAATACGAGAGTACCCATTTAAGTATTAGCACACAGAACAAAACAAAACTGTCCAAAAGGGTAAAAGCACGGTCAAAGCAGCCAGGACTGAATAATAGTAATCACTGTGAACAAGACTTAGTCCCTTCATTTTTCAACAAGAGTAACCATACATTGGCCAGCTACAAATTAAACAACACGACCATAGCATCAGCATGCTCTATCAGCCGCTTGACGATCCTTTGTCATCTGATTTGCCAAGTGAAACCCTTATAGGCGCCGTAGTTAACAAAATATCTAGGACACTTGGCTTCGCTCGGTGAAACTGAAGTTAACGAATAACATCACTGAACGTCTCGCTTACATCATTTTGGTAAATCTCATAATCGAATACGAATCGCTAATCTGGAACCTGCAACAGGCCTACTTTTATCATGAAGTGCAGCCTGTGCAGAATAACGCTGCCTGATTTATCACCAGAAACTACCAGCGAACAAGTATAACAAAAACTAAACATTTATTCAATATTGATTTTCTAAAAATACGTAGACTACTCACACCTGTTCATTTTTTCTCATAGGGTTCGTCACAATCGGTCATCGCACACAGATTTTCATATCAAATCAGCCAATCATGTATCCTCGAGACCTAGCTGTCAGCTTAAAGTGGAGCCCGTCTCACCCATACTCATCTTTTAAAAGCTAAGCACCTTAGGCTCTTTTCTTGTCCGCTGTTGATCTGTGTGTCCGTCCCTGCACAACAGCGGGCGTGTACAGTAGCCACTGTACACGCCCGCCGTAACTTTCATGACGTTGGAAAGCACCAACTATATGCCACTATTTCATTCGTCATTCCGCATTACAGCGGCGCATAGCAACAGTTGCAGTGCCAGAGGTGCGGCCTCTCCTTCCCAGGTTTTCTCGGCAAAAAAGAAATGGTGCAGTCAGTCGAATGTCCGCAGGCTTTCACTGAGCAAAAATAAATATTCACAAAGAGTCATTTTTCGTAACATAGAAGTGTTATATTGTTGTCAAAAGAAACGAATCTGATTTAGCGTTTTGGCGACCGCTGTCAGGACGGTGATCCCGTGGCAAGACACTGTATATATTTTTTTGCTTCTCCGCGTCACTCCGCGAGCTCATGACTTTGATAAGTCAAGCAAGTTATTCACACAATGAATGGTGTATTATGTTTGCCCTCCATCTCCAACTACGGCTGTCAGTGACACCCTGACCTTTCTCATATTTCACCACCAGTTTCTTTAATCTTTCCTCCTTTGTGTTTTCACAGGCGCATATCAGTAGCACAGGGGAATTTCACATCAAACACGTCTCAGTGTCTGCTGCTATGATAAATGCGTGTAAGTGCTATTATCCTGGCTTTCTGCTCAAAGACAGCCGCAATGCAACGCGTCCGAGCTCACTGCTTTTACAAAAGTTGCTACATAAACGTGTACGTTGGACCAGCTGGATTTTATTTAAAGTTCAATGAATTCGTTCGAATGAAGGACTAAGGATAAGCGGCTCATATTTCACGACTGTCGGCGTCTCTGAGTGTGAGCGAAATTCATGGTTGGCTTTCACTGAAGAATGACCCCCAGTTTGGGGTTGACTCACAATGAAGCTGGATCAGTGCCTGCATGCTTCTGCATCTGGGACTTGTTCCTGGCTATGGTCACGCCCCGTGTTACTGGCATTTTGTTCTACGGTGTAGTCGAGACTTTCAGGGTGAGCAGGAGAGAGGCACCCTCGTCAGTGGGCCTGGCAGGCACAGTGCTAGATTGCAGATACGCAGTCAATGTTCTACTTCTACCGCCTATCTACAAAAGTACTCCGAATTCAATTCCGTTGAGAAAATATTACGAAAGCTGCCATCATGTCTTTCCCCAGGCACATTCGCTCTATGCGTTGTATCGGTTTAACACATGCGCAGTTCCAATAAAACGTGCGTTTGGATGATGCGTGGCGAAGCCGGGATATTGATATGGGAAACACCGTAACGTGGAAAATATGCACCGATTTTGCCCCCCCCCCCCCGGTTCGCCTTAATCTACCAATAGCTTATTAGTGGACATCTTAGTTTTCTTTCCGCCCCATTGAAATGAGGAAGCCACTATGACCTCTAATCCAACCCGCGAGCTTCACTTCTCCACTGGTAAGGCCCGCGGCGGCTTTTCTGCGGTTCTAGAACGCTGACAAATTTGTGACGCGTGCAATGCATGACTGTGCACATTGCTGGAAATTTCTCGTTGGAAAACGCTCCCATTTGCATTTTAGTTTTACATTGTACAATTAGTACATACATTTATAAGAGAGATCATACATACACTCGGTAATTTCATAAATAAAAGTGGACCATCGCTTTTTGGTCTTAAACAAAATATTAAATTGCAGCGATAGGGGTTAAAGATGAGCAAGATATAAATGCGTAAGTGTTTAACTGAAACACGCATGGCGAATCGTAATTAACCCGAAATTCACGAGATGGAATCGCTGCCGCGGTGGCCGTGTGTTTGATAGAGGCGAAAACATGTGAGGCCCGCGTGTATTATACTTAAATTCAGGTGCCCGTTCAAGAACGTCTGACGACCGAAATTCGCGTAGCCCTCCATTACGGCGTCTCTCAACATCACATCATGGTTTTAAGACGTTAAGCACCAATGAGTATTTTTATTGCAGATGGTCATCAACATCACGCAGACAAGTACTGGACGTGAACCGTAGCGCTTGCCTGAAAGTAAAAACAACTAGGCACAGCTATAGCGCCTCTTTCACTGACTCGAATGACATGGACAGCCACGGTGCATGCGATGTGCTAAAGGTTTTCATCAGCGCTATTTAGAGTATTGTTCACTTTTTTTGTTTCATATTCCCTTTCATTTGACAAATTGACAACAATTTTCCCGTTTGGTTTCACAACTACTACTGCCGCCTGCTATCAAGCCGGTTAATAATGTGTCAATCATATTTCTGGCATTATGAACTTTTGCTTAGGTTCATTCGTTCAATGCAGTTAAGTTGCGTTGTCATCGCCTGAAATATTTAGAGCGCATCTAACTTAGCATGTATGGAGAAGTTCTCAGCAGTGGTGCAGCTGCGACCTCTGCTTTCTTTCATGAGCCGACGTCTAATGCGAAACTCCCATTGCCCGCATTGGACGTCACCAGGCTGATGAAAGAAACTACTGTTCCGCGAAAGAACTGGCGTGCAGAAGGAAGTCCAATAACAAAAGTAATAGAAAGACATTTGTGCAACGCAGGTGGCTGAGATGTCTAAATGTAGCTATACATCTGGGAGAGAACATGTGTGTATATTAAGACGGATTGACGGTATTTCTGTAAAAATTGATGCATTGAAACCCAGCGTTGCGAAGTCTCTAAAATGTGCGCGTGAATCTCCGTAATCTGTTTCCTTTTATTGTGATAGCAATTACATTAACAATCTCGGCTGCATTTTGCCGCCGAGGTGGGCGTCGCCGTCACAGATTATATATGTATATGTATCTATATATATGAAAACACAAGAGAGAAAAAAATGCAGAAAAAGACTCCGGTGGGCGGTATTTGACTTGGTACCTCTGAAAAGTGAGTGTGGGAAGTTAATCACTGAGCCACGGAGGATCACGTCCGTCAATGTTCATGCGGCAAGCCATTTATATCTACCACAGCGAGCGAGTCGAGTACAAGATAGTCGTAGTGGCGTGTTCTGGATATCCTGAATGTCATATCAGTCAAAGGGTGCAAAAGTACACCACGTTAGAGTGCACATGAGCAAGGCCGGATGCACATAAGATACCACAATATAGGTTTACATACGAAGTCTTCCTATGCAATGACATAAGAGAATACCATCGTGAGCAGGGGCGTAGCCAAAAGGGTTAACATCCCCCTTTCTCCTATATTTTGTTCTAAATTTGCTTGCGTGTATATACACGCACATATACAAAAGCACGCACGGACAGACATAAAGTAAAGGTGATTTCCCTCTCTGTACCCAGAAAAAAATTTCCCCCGACGCCCTTGATTTTCTGGGAGGATCTCAAAGGGGCAGCTAAATAGCAGTACGCCTGATTATATGGCACATCAAAGATACAAACGCTTGCGTATAACCCCCTTTTCCCAATTTCTTTAGAAATTATTGGGCTATTGGTCGTTCCTTCCAACATAATTCTGAAGAGGAGTGTGTCATTCACCGTTCACCCACGGGCTTTGCCTGGAGATATAGTTGAGTTTGCAACCTTCGATGGCCAACAAAGAACTCTTGGGCAATTCTTCTTGTTCCATCCATCCATCCATCTATCAATCCATTAACCTATCCATCCATTCGTTCATCCATTCATTCGTCCGTACATCTGTAGATCAATCCGTCCATCTATTGAGGGGATGGAGGGGTTCAACACAAATCGGTAACTATGTTTTTGGAAATATTTCTCGATCACCGGTGAGGCCTGGGGTGCGGCCTCACCGGTTACAACTACCAGTAACGCACGTCTTCACCATAGAAGGATTGACTACCCTGGTGCTGTATCTGGCCACTACCTACCACATGGATATGCTAAATAACCCTCGGCCCTCAGTCCCCAGCGGCTGCGAAGCAACTGACCACGGTGGTGATCAGGTCTGAGACGCAGCATAAGGTGCATAGAATCACTGTGTCCAGACAGGCCGCCATTGTAACCGGAACTTGCCAACGTTTAATGCTAGAACCTTATCTAGTGACACAAGTACAGCTGTGCTATTCGAGTAAGTAAAGAGTGTTAAGTGAAATGTGATAGAGCTTTAATGGGATGTATTAGTGCGAATGTGTGACTGTCTTCAAGAATTTCTAGGTTGCTCTAAATTTACTTACAATTATTGTGATGGCTGAAGAGGTCCTCGGTACCAATCGCACTGACCACAACGCCAATGGTTCAAGTTGAAAACAGGGCAATACAATACTTTCATCTTAATATAAACAGTGATGGGACAAGAACAGCTGAGTCATTGTTCTATTAGGTAGTCAAACGGGGGGGGGGGGGTAGAGTGGGGGGATGCCCCGTTTCTTTCTTGTACGCACCCCTGCCCGTAGGTGGTATTCTTCAGAGCTGCTTGGATCGCAATCGCATTTTAATTCTCCTGTTCATCTTGTATTATGCTGTATTCAGCGGTCTCAGGTGGAGGGAAAGAAGTGGCGGTGTTCCCCTCTTGCGTCGGCCAGAACACTGCTTCTGTGCCACCGCCTGAAGCCCATCGCGCTCACTCCGCAGCTACTCGCTATGTCTTTCGCACTGTCGGAGACTTGGACGTTATTTAGTAGATCTCCTGCCAATGTTTCATGCTCGAGCATTTGGTTTTCTGGCGCTTGGTTTTGAACGACCGCATGCTGAGTATCGAACCTGATCTAAGTTTATCTGGCTTTTCTGACGACTTCGCGAACGGAGTCCATGATGATTAATGTGAAAAGATGAAAAAAAAAGTGTTTGCGTGAACTGAACTTCAACATGCACACCTAAAACTGTTCGACTGTTGCGCATAAGTGAGGTGTTTTCAGCATGTTATTCGTGCTAAGCTAACATGTCGTAACATGTCGGAAAGGAATATGATAGGTGTGACCTTAAGAGACAAGAAGAGATCAGAGTGGATCAGGGAACGAACCAACGTTAAGGATATCATGATTGAAATCAAGAAGAGGAAACGGAAGTGGGCCGGACATGTAGCGCGTAGGCAGCATAACCGCTGGTCATTATGGGTAACTGACTGGATTCTCAGAGAAGGCAAGCGGGTTAGTAGGAGATAAGATTAAGGTGTTTCCGAGTATAAAGTGACAGCAGCAAGCACAGGGCCTAGTTGACTGGCGGAACATGGAAAGGGCCTTTGTCCTGCGGTGGATGTAGTCAGAATGAGGTTGATGATGATGATGATGATGATGATGATGATGATGAACATGTCAGTACATGGTTGTGTAACTCTGTATACTGCCTGTATATTTATATACGTTACGGTTTAATGTATCCGTGCTAGCACTATACTAAGGGTCCAGATGTTTTTAACATGTTTTACCATATTTTGTGGAATAAAATGCAATTCAAATAAATTTTATAAATTTTCAAAAAAAATGCGAGTTATCATTTTCAGGAGCTAAAGATTAGAGAAACGGCGAACGCAAGGCACTGGTCACTGTATTTTTGTGAGTGTAATATTTATCTCTTTATTTCACTTGAAATTCTATATGCTGCTTTATCGAACGTATCCATCAGAAAGGGGTGCGATGTTAAAAATCAGAAACGAGTCATTCATACATTCATAAATAGGAAAAACTGTGATGATATCGATGAATACGATGATTCACATCAAGCTATGCCCCAATGTTGTGGGAATCTCACTTCTCGCTGTCACCGTCAACCGGAAGCAACGCCATTGTTAAAACTCCCCATTCGTCCAAAAGCGTTGCCGGAATTCTCGCCCCGTCTGTGGCGAGTAGCCAGGGTCATGCCCGAGGGAACCACCCTATACCAGCGCTTGTCGAAGGCCATGGCGTTAATAAGGTGCGCGCACCACCACCACGACCGAGGGGCGTCATCACCGGAACCTCTCACCCTTCTTCTTTACACTTTTCCCGCCCATAAAGGCGACCACAACGACGTTCGCGCCAATAGTCTTAGGGCGTGCTAGCTCGAACGCACTCGACGCATTAGTCGCATCGAAGCCTTCGGCGAGCGGCAAAACCACATTTCTTCAAGAGAAAGTCTCGGAGACTCTCTCGTATTCCCAGCGCGTGCCACGAGAGCGGCTGATTTTAACTACTCTAGCAGCGTTGCAAAGCAGTGTAGCGACTCTTTCTTCATTTATATAAGGCAGCTGTGCAATCCACCCAAAACAGGACACTAAACTACCTGACACAGCTCCTTGACGACATGGAGCCCACGACGTGGACCCGGCTTGTGATTTGGACGGCACTCTGCGCCTTCTCCTTTCTCAGGACAGGTGAGTGGCCCCTTGTTGCACTGCGCGGGAGTGCGGGCATTGAAACTTTTCGTGTCTGCAAAGACGCCGGCTCTAATACATTCGTTCTAGCAAAGTGCTAAAGCATTATTATTATTATTATTATTATTATTATTATTATTATTATTATTATTATTATTATTATTATTATTATTATTATTATTATTATTATTATTATTAACATCGACACGCACAAGTTAAGATGAAGCAGCTGCACAATTACTCTCACTGGAAAAACTGAAATGAATCAATATGTGTTGAAAAGATTCAAACGAAATCGGAGGAGGTAAGAAGTATCGTAATTCATTCAGGGCAACTTATAAAACCTTAGAAACACTCGCACAGGCTTCCACTCGGGAGACAACACAAATCACAGAGTGTTGACGTGTATTTCTTGAGTTAAAGTGAGTGTGAATGTGTGAGTGTTTTGGGGGTTCCTAAGGTTACCTAAATTATTTTCAAGTTGTAGTAAAGCCTGAAGGTTAACCAGAGATACTTCCGGTTGGCTACCCTAGACATCGAGATCAGGAGAGGGGAACTGGACTAGACTCTACAATAAAAACCTAAAATCTGGACTGTCTTCAAATAATCGTTTAAATGAGGCATTCTATAAGTTTGGTACGTTTATTGGGGTGTTAATTTTTCCTATACGTATAAGACAACATCCCAAGGTACGCTAAGTTACAGTCGTCTATACCAGTATAATAAATATGATAATGAATCAAGAAGAAAAACAAAAATTAATACAAAGCACTATGTACTCATTTTAGTGTACAATAATATAGGGACAACGTCAAAAGCATACATAGCAGTCATCCAGATAAGCGTGGATACGTCCGTTCAAATACTTCTCATGCGATTCCAAAAGATCTGGCCGCTGGTTTCCTTTGTTAGTATTGAGGTACAATGAAAAAATGAAAAGAAACAATATTATGAGGTACATACAAGTAATAAGATTTTATTTCACAGAAAAGTTAAAAACGTGATGAACGGTAACCACAGCGCCCAGAACATTGCTCAGTCTGAGAGCACGTTCATCGAGTGCCTTGAAGTGACCACGAAGATCAATGCACGTTTCCGGCATCCCAATCAGATAAGTTCTATGATTAGGAGTTATTACATCGACTGTGCTGTGAGAACGTCGGTTCAATTGATGAGTCTCTATGCCCAAGCCTACAATGTAGGAGTCCCATCACAGGAACCGTTCCACTCTACAATTCCTATTCGCCGGTCCCAGCCGTCAGTACTATACTGAAAATTCAAGTGCATGCTTGGTGAGCACACGGTTTAATTTTAATTGTTTTTACTTTTGCTGTCCTTACCATTGATATCTTCCACTTTAGATTACAGTCAACCGTACCGTCAATATACTCAACACATTTGCACTATGAAAAAAATACGCACCCATGTACCACTTTTGTGTACCAATCCGAATAGTATACGGTCCGTGTTGCCAAAGAGTTCGTGTTGGTACAACTAAAAGGAAGAGAGATACAAAGCTTGTTTCACGACAGCTATGAATCAATGGCTGTTCTCTCGAAGTATATCCCACATCAGTGGCCTCAAACATAAGATCATTGGTTTCCCCAGCAATAAACTTTGGTGACTTCGCTAACTTGTATTTTCATTATCTTCTCGCCTATTGTGGTTCATAACACATTATTGGGGTAAGCCACCGAGACGGGACTGGCTTCAAACACTTTTTTTTCTCTTCAATTCTATATTTGTAACCTTTCTGGAGATATCAGTGCCGATACCTTTGCCGAAATCTGACGTCTAATACCCTTTGCAAATGAGCAATATAGGTGATATGGGAAAAACCTTTTTTCTAATGACAACGTTCGGTCACGCTTTGTGTTATTTTATTGAATTAATATGTTGCCGCCGTCAATTAATAAAAATATCACAGCAATTCCACGCAGCGAATGATGATGAGTGGGGCGAAACTTCGGAGGTTTTATCGGGAAACCGTGACCCCTCTGTCCTTCCGTCTGTTCGTCTGTCTGTCTGTAAGTCTTTCCGTCCATCTGTCCATCCGTCCGTTCGTCCGTCTGTCCGTCCGTCTGCATCTGCTGAGTGAGTCATTCATAAAACTAGGCGGTCATGTACCAAGATATACAAGGAATGTACAGACGCACGGCTTTAGGAGATTCGCCCCTAATATTCCAAAGATATAATCGCCGAATGTAGCAACAGCAGCGCAGTTAGTGTCGCAGAGCGGCTCTCTATAAAATTCATAGTGCACGCTGACGTCTGTCCCACATTGCGAGAGGAAATACAAATGTTTTACTGTCAGGTTGCGGTGCGCGTTGAAGTCAGGGACGATGAACTTTGGGGGACTTGTGTTCGCCATCCCATTGGCCTGTATTAGAAAAACTGAATTATTTTATCGCAAGTGTTGAAGCATTTTCTCTACATCTTTTCACACTAACCAATATCCTCTCTAAGCTTGTATTACCTTGATTGAGCGACGAAGCTCACGAAATGTTCTGATACGCCTGTTCCGAGTACTTGCTTTTATCAAAAAACGAATTCGCCAGTCTCAAGTCTTGAACAATGGCATCGCCCATAGTGGTGCGTTTTTTTTTTCCTTGCAGAGTGTTCAGGGCGTGCTTTCAAACTCTATCAATAAGTCTCTGAGCATGAAATTCTCGGGTAACGGAACAGCGAGCTCACTCGTACGCGCCTCCTACTAAACGAGCTTCTTGCCAGGGGTTCGTTTGACGCATTTTATGCTGATTAATACAACACCGCTAACTTCAAATCAAAATAACCTTACATTTCTTTACCGATGTTCTGCCACAGTTTTATATATTATATATTATTATTATTATTATTATTATTATTATTATTAATATTATTATTATTATTATTATTATTATTATTATTATTATTATTATTATTATTATTATTATTATTATTATTATTATTATTATTATTATTATTATTATTATTATTATTATTATTATTATTATTATTATTATTATTTAGGTGTTAGAAGATTTCTTGCTTGTCTGCAATAATGAGTTTCGCGATAGATTGTGGGAGGCTCTATTTTTCGTGTGTCAACTCTTGTACGAGCGCTTAAGGCCGCTGAATGCTTCCTCATAGGTCGTAAAGGTTGTTTAGACCTTTGACGTGGTCATCACAAGCGTGCGCAGAGTTGCCCTTCAGGGGAGGGGGCGAAGATTCATTACCTTCTCTCCCCTATTAAGTAAATCTATGGGGCAGATTTTGCGCATCCCCCCTGTCCTCCCATCGTGCGTGCGCCAGTGGAGATCATCCAATGAAACTCTTTGGGAAGAATGCATATATGCTCATACGCGACTTGTGTCTTATGTTTGTAATTCATTTCATCGATATGTGGGGCTTAACGTCCCAAAACAACCGTATGATTACGAGACATCGAAGGGCACCAGAATTTCGACCACATGAAAAGGCTGGAGATCCGCCTCACTCAATTATAGAGGAAGGTGGGGGGGAGCATCTCGAGTGCCTATTCATGCTTTCCTATACTTATGAAAAGTACCGCGACCTAAGGGAACTAGAAGTTGGGCATTTAGAAGCTTCTCACTTTATACGCAGACCCTACTTTAAAATACACCAAAGGTTTGTACACACATGAGGTGACTTACCGAGAGCAGATTGATTCACCATTGATATATGGGGTTTAATGTCTCAAAACCACCATATGATAATGAGAGGTGCCGTGGTGGATGGCTCAAAGCGCACCCAAATTCGAACGAACGTGTACACGGCTGTTTCGCCTCCATCGAAAATGCAGCCGCTGCAGCCCGGATTCCATCCCGTGACCTGCGGGTCAGCAGCCCAGTACCTCAGCCTCTAGACCACCGCGGCGGGCTGCCTTACGTTTGTAGCTTTTGGAAGTTTTTTTGTTATTTTAAAATTTCTTGAAAGAGTACTGACAGCTTGGGTAAAACATGCAATATAAAGATACTACAATTATTTTTCTGTGTTACGGTGTGCTATAGTAAAGTGCGATTCGGCAAGAATAGTAACTTCTGTATAAGTGATAGCTTGAAACTAGAAATCACGTAAAGCAAAGCCATTGGCGACACCACTCCAATGTTCATGTTGCACACTTGAGAGACGGAATCGATTTAGGCAGCGTGATAATGTTCAGCTATAATGTAATATACATCGGAAAAGGACTAAGGTTAGTTCTAAGAAACAAGATAGACTCAAACGATTTTCAGCGCAGTAGAAGAGAGAAAGAGGACATAGCTTGAGATTGCTCACGTGATGATAGACGTTCAAACAGCAAGATGGCATCACAATATTTTTTCATGTTCACTATGTACATTTCTTCCACTATCAATTATTCTTTCACTTCAAGCGCATGAAAAAATATAGATATAAAACCACGAGAAGGGTGGGTACGTTGGCTTGTATAGGTAGTGGTTATTATTGGTATTACAGGCTTTAGGGCTGGTGAAGTGGTTACGAACCACTTATTTCCCCATTTGCCTTCGGGAAATCTGTATTACTTTTATTGAAAATGAAGTATGGATACATACTATATCGTCCAGATCACTGTAGCTGCCCAAAAAACATGGACACCAGAAAGAAACAAACCATTACACGTAGCACTACCTGCAATAAACATTTGTCTCGGTTTTTCAGTCGCACTTGTGTCCCTAACCTTCACGTGACACCTGTTTACGTCATTGTGTCACACAATCAAACCTTAAAGCACAAGTTACGTTTTCGAAATGGCCTAAGCAGTTCTCATTGTAGACACATCATGCCACTCTTCCTGGGTAACTCTGTGTGCCGTCGCAAGTTTCTTTCTAGAGAGCACGTCCAATTACCATGCTACAACGAAGTTAGCAATATGAAACAATGGTACAGTCGAAACCTCTCAAGATTGAAATTCCAACGTCAACAGCAAATTTTTCAGGCTTCTGGGGTTCACCCGTGTGATTCAGTGTAACTAAATAACTAAATATTCAAGGACTACA